ATTCCAGAGCCAACATGAAGGAGACATAGTCATCTCCCAAAGCTAAGACATTCTGTTCCACATTTGGCAAAATTGTCAGCGGTGTTCATGAGACACTTGTCATGACCACGAGTCTTGAACCAGACGGTTAAAAAGGTGACCTTTTTTGCCAAATGACAGGGCCAAGAAATAAATAGAGCCAAGAAAACTGCTGATGTGTAATGCTCCTGCACCATCAAGCAAGATCAATGAGCCGCAGCTGCTTACACAGCTCTGAAAACACATCCAGTGTTTCCCTTGCCTTAATGTTACAGTTCATGGCCATTTGTCAGCTTTAGCACCCTGCAAATGGATTTCACTAATGGAGGATGGGTTAGTGAACAGTTTGTTTTCAAGACAAAGTTCCCTCACTTCAGAAGAAGCCAGCAAGGGTTGTGGAAAATCATCCCACATTCCTCTGCCCATGTGGTCCTTTGTCTATCTGCACAAAGCCTGTGCAGCTCAGAGCACTCTCACATTGCAACAGTGCTTTGCAGAGGCATCAGTACTAACGCACCATAATCCCTAAATCACAGCATCTTCAATATAAGGAACAGGATAAACAGCTAAATATTGACTTTGAGATAAAAAATATCTATCGACACCAGGGACCAGGACTTATGACAGTGGCTCACACTGAGCTCAGCCCAAACCCAGGGGCATGTTTCTGGGATCAGGTGTCATGCTACAGGAGCAAAATAAAGCTTACAGAAACAGTGTAATTGCTGATATGGAAAATAACAGTATAAAAATAGCTGACAGGAGCTACAATAAAGTATATCAGTTATTTATGCATTCAGTACAAATCCTGTACAGGCGACAGAAACTGGGAGATGTGGGGGTGGAAATTACAGGGTAAGCACATCTTAGGATAGTGTACGCAGGCAATTGACTGAAATCTGGCAGAATGGCTCTCCCTGAATTCCAGAATCAATACCTCATTGCAGTAAGAGGTTCTCACCTCCTACATGTATTGCTTGAGGCTAACCAGCGCCTGTATAAGTCAACACTACAGTTGTAGCTTCTAAACTTTAAAATGGGAACAAACCAGCCCCTTTTCATAGCCATGACATCCTCCTCCTTTTTCTCCTCAAGTTTCTCAGCCTCCCCAGCACTCCTTCCTATAGCTGGCACCATATTACCACATTTTGAACTACATCCAGAAAAGGATCTAGTTACATTAGAGATTAATTTCACATGTATTTAAGCAAATGAGGGGGTTAACTGGTAAAGGAACAAGCTGCTGCAGACAGAGCAGATAAGGGAAGACAAAATGGCTTCTTCTGGGAACAGAAGTAGTGTAAAGTTTGTGATGCCAGAATGTTATAACATGATCCAGTCTTTCCTCACCAGTAGGAGGGCCAACAGTGCTTACAAATTTAAATCCAGCTCACATGCATTAAGCAAACAGCAGCATTATTTCAAACCTTTGCTAGTCATGTCTGCTACACTCCTCTGCCTTTCCATGTCAAAAAGAAACATGTGCCTGCATCTCAGCAGTTCCAGTTTCTCCCAATACAATGCACCATCACTGGAATGCTGATGCCAAAAGAGAGGAAGAACAAATAGCTTAGGGAGGACAGTCCTAAACCATTGCTAGAAGATTCATAAAGATGTACTGTACACTCTAAGTGAGCTTGGGTAGCAGTACTGGTAGGTTTCTCTGCTCCAACCCCATCACTGAAGTTTATGAAGCAACTCATTTACCTTTAGGACTCAGCCACATTCAGTAACCCCGAACACAGATGCTCTTGACTTTACTAATACGACAATTCCCCCAAAGCCTGCAGCGCTCAGCCATTTAACACAGGTCTGCTACTTGAGATGGCAAGAGGAAACTGGGAGATGCTGATGAGAAGTTTATGAAATTACACTATCTGGCAAAGAGCACACTTTCTCAAAGATTATATGGGATATTCTATACAACTATTCAGAAGACTAAACATAGCCACAAATGCTTGTTACAAGCAAAGGTTGCCTCGTATTTTTTAATTTACATCTTAAGGTAGACAATGGAATTACTGCAGAATGACACTGCACGGACTATATTCCCTTTACCAAACACAAAACCTGTAAATCTTTAAAGAATGAAGATTTTTTACAACACAGACTTCATTTTACATTAAGTAAACTCACAGAATAATCAAACTTCATTTTATGCTAAATAAGTACCCTGAATGAGCAGATTTCTGCTTAACATACAGAGTATCTGTAAAACATAAGGCAAGTACAATTGACAGTTGAACTACACTGCTGTCACAAATGTAAAGTTTTACGACACTTCAAGATATAACACCAGAGAGTGGAGCAAAGTAGCAGTTGATAAGCACCTATTCATCAGTCAAATAAATATCTGGTAAGGGATAGGCAGAATAGGTACAGGTTTAGCCAGAGGTAAATATTAAAGCAACCAAAGTGGGATTTCTAACAGAATGGCAAGTGTAACTGTCATTCCAACAGTCTTCTCTTTGCTTATTACAACTGTGCAGTGCAGCAAACATTTAAGTTTCAGTGTTTGGACAGTATATTTCCTTGATTCCTCAGCCCTTTTCTCATAGTTGCCTTCACCTTCCTTGTAAAATAAATAAAATAACATCAAGCCCTGTTCTCTGAACTTCAGATACCCAAATCTTACACAGGTCGAGGATATTTTGCTACCACACCCATCTTTTTAACCTCTCAATGCCCTTTGATCAAGGGCTGTTGGCATAGGAAGAGCTTTGCTGCAGCTGATACTATCTGCAGCACTAACAGCACAAACATTCATGCTGCCAGCTGACACAACACTGGGTTCCTGCAAGGTGCTGCAAAACTTTTTAAATCATTTTAATCTGCATAAAAATGGACCAAAGAGACAAGACCAAAATAAAACCTCTGTTCTGAGAATTAAACATTTCATGTCCACCATGGTGCAAGAAGAGAACACAAAACCCAAACAAATATAAATAAACAAAACAAAACCAACCAACAAACAAGGATGCCTGTGATTACTGCTAAACCATTACAGCGAGGAGTTACTATCCTGATATCTAACAAACTGTGATAAGCATTTTAACATTGGTCACAGTAAGGGGAATGTTAGTAGTATTACTGGTGAAAAAAAAAGAAAAAGAAAAAAAGTGGAGAACACTGATGTTTCCCCTTCTCCTTTCGAGGATGCATCTTCTGTATGCTTACACCAGAGCATTCTATTTTCCTACTGTACTAAGCTGCAGCACTTTATGGCTCTGCAAATGCTGGCTGTTTCAGCTTCCTGCCAGGGAAAAAGCACACACAGCCTCTTCTAAAGAACTAGCTTTTATCTTCATGGTGCATCCATTGCTTTGCTGAAAGCTGAAGAAGGAGAGGTCAAATAAAAGGTCCTTTAATTCATCCCAAGCAGAAAGGTTTGTTATAGTTCTTACTTGTGAAGGAGTTTATTAATTGCAGACTGAACCTATCACCCACACAGGTGAATGTTCACCTTTCTAATATTCCATTTCCTGAGATGAATGATGCATTTCACCATCACGACATATATAAGACCCCTCTTAATGAATATTCACACTCCAGCATAGTTAAAGAGGAAATTTGCAGGATGAAAAATTTATTATTTCCAAGTTTATACTCAAATTCTGCAGTGAACAGTTCTGGGATATAATAAAAGTAATTTAGTTTTAGCAATTCACTTCCATCTCACATCAAATCCACAGTCCATGTGTATCATAGAAACTCACATTCAAACAAAGAGAAAGTAAATTCCACAAGTCTCAAGCACACACATTCACATTTAACTTTCTTTTCCAGAAAGACGTTAAGAACGTAGAAATAATGTCTTAATAAACTAAATAATTTCATTCAATGCAATGGGCTAGACTTCTAGAGTTAGTTATCTAACAGGTGCTTTTGCTTCCAGGAATTCTCTTACTGCACACCCTGCACACACTAATATTTGCAATAATCAAAATATACCTTCCACAACAGGTTTGAAAAAGCTGACTTCATCTCTGAACAAGTTTCTCACAACTGCATAAATGATCGTCCAGTTACTAAGGAAGGAGAATACACCCGAAAGAGCACATATTTAGACTCAAACCTCTCTTCCCACCCAAAAACGGAATTCAGATTTTCATGAAAAGCAATCTATATGTACCTACGTAAGAACCCCTATTTTACTGAAAAACATGAAGGCCAAACATCTTTGCAGAGTACAAGCAACTGGCAGACTCTTACATTCAGTTCAAAATGAAGTATTAAAAGTTCACTTCTATTGCAGCAACTTGATTCCACAAATTTCAATTGTTACAGCAAACACAGTCATTACTTATTTTTTATATTTTCACTAAAGATGGCAGACATGAGAATATTTGCCTTAAAGCCTTTTCAAGTGATACACTGCAAGATTTCTGGTTTTTAAATGGCATCTCCGCATTATTCACAAAAATCACATCTATTTTAGAGACACTGATAAACAAAGTTCTGTAAGATATGGATAAAGCATTTTAACTGGTAAACAAAGGATTATAAATCTCTCCTTTACAAGTATAGCACGTTGAAGAGAGCACTGCACTACACACCACAGATTTTGCTTCAAGATTTTGCATGATGAATCCCTACCACTTTCCATCCAACTTTAACTGTATATTCAAGTTTAAATTCATCTGAGTTATTCTATTATCACATTTAAGCAGCAGTCAGTTTAACTCTATTGTGTGACTGTATTTGCAAGCAATTCAAAATATTCCCAATACAATATGCCAATTTATTTTAAATATTAATAAGAGTATTCCACCTTATTTTTAATTATTTTCAGAGAAATACTTACTGTACTTGGTCTTTAAAACCATTGTTGAGCACTCAGTGTGTGGCTGAACAGAAATAGTGTACAGATAACAGTTACCTCAATGGTTATTGATGCAACTAATAACAAGATATTTAAAGTACCTTCTCCCTTAATTGAAGGATTCCAAAACATTCCCTCTCGGCTCCCTTCACTTAAAATCTATTCACTTCTGGCTGGGATTCTTGATTACTTAATCTCTATGCAAATGGACAATTTGTCTTTTATACCTCCCCTTTCCAAAAGACTGAATGGCAAGTGTTTTCAAAGAAGATATTTCCTGTGTACAGTCTTTCAAGTTTTAAATATAGACCAATGAAAATCAAGGCACTCAGTGTAGTTACACATGAGAAATCAAATTATTAATGAGAATTATAAGCTCAAATCACAAAGTCAGATTATCAGCAAGTGTGTAACTGGGAATAAGGTGAAATCTCCTTCTTTTACAGCTTTGGCTTGAACTCGCCAGAAAGAAGCTTTTTCAGCATTTCAGAATTTTTTCCTTCTGGTGGTGCAGGCCATCTGTCATGATCTGAGGAAAACAAATAAAAGGAAATATTTAGCTGACTGAGAAACCAGGCATTTTACATTTGTGTCCTCCCATTGCCCAACCTCATTCACTAGAAGGGCATTATTTTGTAGCCCATTTCTTACCAGGTATTTCTAGGGTATGGCTGTATAAACTTTGGCCACCATCCACAACCATGGTTATCCCAGTTATGAAAGAAGCAGCTGGAGATAGTAGGAAACACACTGCAGGAGAGATCTGTCAAAAGAATTACAATTTTAATCCTTCTTAGACCACTGGGAACTGTACATGTCAAAGAGGCTTGTAAAAACTTACACAGGTAAGGCACACTAATATTTTTTACTCAGTGAAAACTGTAACAGTCCTAAAACCATCCTCCTAGCGATGAACATCAAGTACTTAACAAAAGAAAAACAATAAGCTCTCAGCACCAAATGCTTAAAAATCAAACAAAAATGCGGACCAATTTATCAAATAAGCACATTTTTGGTAGAAGAGAGCTAAGTACTTTTAGGATACAATTTTTTTCACTTTAATATTCATTCTTTCATTCATCCCTGCTGGAAGTCAATTTCTTCAGGAACTAATGTCTACCATGAAACACTTCAGCTGTAAGAGGCAGCTGAATTAAATTTTCAGTATATCAGTTACTACTGGTTAAGTCTCCCACTTGGCATGACTACACATTACTACAAGCTTTTTTTCTTTTTAAATATTCCATCACAGTGCAGAATTAAGTCTTTTTTTTCTCCACATAATAAAATGGCTTCTAAATAGAGACACAGAAGTAGAAATATCACAAATGTTTTGAAATACATTACCTCCTCAGGAACTGCTGACCTCTTGGCAGGAACTTTTGGTATGCTCTTTAACCACATCATTATACCTTGCTCTCCATAGTTTGCAACAGCAGTTTCCGAAAATACTAGTCCCTAGTAATTTTAAAACAGCACAGTAAAAATTAAGTTCTCTTGCATATGTTTAAATGGATCATTCTAAAATTGTGAAGTTGTCATCACTGATTTCCCGTGGGATTAAACTATCTAAAGAGCACTTGAATGCAAGTTTTTAAATGTAATGGAATAGCATAATTTATACAAGAAGGTAATTTGGCTGCCAGCCACTTCTCTATTCAAGCACAATACTTCTGATTATTCCAATTCTCCGCTGTCACTTCAATAACTAAAAAATGGAGTATAAAGAAACTCAGAGGCTGCTTTGAAATTACAAGCATTTCATGTTAGCTTACAGTGGGAAACTACAAAGCCCCATGAACAAGTTCTCAATAGCATCTTGTCATCTGTAAAAACACGAGACGGATTTATTGCGAATTATGGAAGCAGATTTCAGTCAGAATTCCAACTCTCCCTACATAGCTGCTGTAGAAACAGAAAAAGGTGACTATGTTTGTTCTGATGATTATTCAGTCCAATTTAGTCTTGAGAGGGAAGATGAAGGCTACAGCAATGGAACACCGTCAGGACACAATCTTTGGGACTGAAGTTTAAGTCAAATAACAAAATTTGAATTCATCCACGAAGTACATACTAAGATTTCTAAGAGATCTGTATAATGTGAGCATGCACAACCATTTTCTTCAGAATGCACGTTTCCCTCTCTGAGAATCGATTCCCTATAGGTTAGTCTGCTCCTCTAATGTAGTAACAGTTTTGTATTGTTACCACAGACCTGGAGTGTCCACAAAGGTGACAGAAGTATCACTGTAACTACAACATGGACTTTTGTTACCAGTACAGTAACAAAGCTAGCAAATACTTAGGAAAGAGCCAAACCCCTGAAGTGTTTGCTTGTCAAAAACTTCTTTTGACATGTGCTATAATGTATAATCACCATGATTCATTAGGTAATTAGCATGCCTGAAAAGTATATTCACATAATAATGCTGTCTTAATTACTTACTTCCCCAAGACTTGATAAATCAGAAAAAACAAATAAACAGGAAGTGCAAGCCAGTAGATGTTAATATTTAACGAGTCCCCAGATGAATTGGGTCTCACAAAGGCTACATAAAAGCCACTACCTGAATGATCATCACACATCGGCCATTAAGCATTCTCTGCTATGCCAGTCAAAGAGAGCCAGATGTTTTAGGACAAGGGGCTTAACAGGATATACAGACATTCTACAAAAATAGTAGCGACACTTTCCTAGGGTTCACTTAAACAAATATGACACCTCACTTATGACACTCACTTATGTGAGGTAGGATAATTCCTGAATGTAGAAGTAGCTGCACAAAATTTACATTTCCTCTTTTGATTTCGAAAGAGTAAATGTGCAAAATAAACTGTGGTTGAGAGCAGATTACAAAAATCACAACAAAACACACAATCTCAAAATTTAAAGCTAGAGATTCCATATAACCTCTGTATCTGCAGTACTATCCTTTACAAAATATAGCTGCTCTTTCCATACTGTTATTTAAAAAAAAAAAACTATCTGCTGCCTACTTCCTCAGAAATGTGGCAGGCATATTTTAGCTGACCTGTATAGTGGTTTCCTGTCTGCATGAATTTGATAAGAAAAAAAATCAGAACGCACATTTTTACATGTGATTTCTCTGAGAGAAGGTTCACTCCAAATAAGTTCTCTTCATGTCTAAAGCAAATCTAACTTAACATGTACAACACAGAGTAAAAGGCACCATGTTAACACTCAGAGATTTTTAAAGTAACTTTGTAAACACAGGTTGAAACCATCAGCATACCTGAACCTCAAAACAGAAAAAGCTTCATGAACTCAGAAATAATGTATGCATCACCGAAACACAAAGCATTCAGTAATTTCATGTCAAGGCTTTGTAAGACAGGTTACCACCTTGTACCAGTATCATTTCATTAAGCTACAAAAAAACCAACTAGAGTGCTGAGTCAAAGCAGAAAGCAGAAGCAATTTTATCCCAAATCCTCTGACTCATCATCCAGAAAGTACAAAACACTCTCAAATGACCCAAAGAACACAGATGAGGTGATTATAAATAAATGAATGCATAAACAATCCAAAATCAGTTACAGATTTTAGTTATAGATTATATAATAACAGTTATAGATTTTAAAACCCCTTTTGGCCTGAAAGCTTTAATTATGAACATGTACAATTGCTAAGTTTAATCATATAATTTGCCATTACTTACAGGAGCAACACTGTTGATTCTTACTCCACTGTGGGCCCATTCCAGTGCTAAAGTCTTGGTCAGGTTATCCACTGCAGCTCTTGCAGCTCCTGTGTGCCTATTGAGAGAAGAAAGCAAAGGAAGCACCTGTTCCCTCAGCTAGGAGTGCCCAATATAAATTCTACTGCAGTCTCACTGGGGTAGTCAGAGTAGCTTTCTGTGGCTGGACCAACCCTCTGAGAGACAGCAATTCTCTAGTTTGTAAGTCTGACCATAGGTTCACTGCTTCAACAAGCTGTGCTATGACTTCCTGTCATTGCTGGAAATACTTACAATCCCTCCCCCAGTGTGACACGAGGTCAGCTACTCTATGGCAGAGGGAGGCTTATAAAATGTGAAACAAGGAGGTAAAGTTCAAGCTGTGTAAAACTACCTGTAGGCTGCAGAGGTAAAACAAGATTTGGAAGGGCAGTGGTCTGAAAAACAGTTTAAACCTTCTGACAGACATGATTAAAATCAGTCACTACTCAAAAATTACTCTAGATGGATGGAGATAGAGACAAGAGTTGAAGTCATACACCTTGCTGCTATAGGAGACTAGTCTGAAATGATTACAAGCTTGAACAAACGCAGACAAAATTACTGCATAAGGAATAGTAGACAGTTGGATTGATAGAAAACGAACAGAATTTAGATTCTTTAGCCTAACAAAGAAGACTTAGAGGAGATGAAACAACAGCTTCTCAAATACCAGGGAAAGAATACAAAAGCGTGAAGAAAAATGTAAGAAAATATAACTCATTTATTTATGGTCTAAACGTATGAATGACCCCCAAGTACACTATGAGCAAACTTGACAAGTTTTATGTTCAAAATTAATACTTATGGAAAACTGTACCGGGTGACTTTCAGCAAAAGTGGTGGCTGGAATTGTAAAGCCAAATCTTTTTCAATAGCACCTTTCTACAATGAGTATCCATTCAGCAGGAATTTAATTTGTAAGTAATTTTGTCTATCCACCTACATCTAGGAACATTAGTTATTTAGGAAAATTTGTTCACCGTTACACAGAATTAGCTTTTTCTTGTGGTTCAACTCTCAAAAGCAGCTTCAGCATATTTGCTGAGATAATTCAGGTAGATTTTACCACAGCGGAGAACCTCAAATAACTGCAGCTTCAGCACCACCCTGTGGATCTCGACATTCATTCTGTACTGCCAAGAACAAGCTACGGAGAAAATATTCTGCTGTTCCTTAAAATATGTTATTTTTGAAAACTTTCAATGCTGGACAAAGAGATGTAATGCAACACATTGCTCAAAGTATATTGTTGCCTAAATGCTCTGAGGCATCATATTTTTTGTGTTTTCTTCAATAGAAACTCAATTTCAAAGTTAAAAAGAAAAAGAGGAAAAGTTTCAAAGAAGAAATTCAGATTTTTTTTTTTTTCAAGAAACTGTCAACATGCAGCACATTGACAACTTCAAAATTTCTTTTGAAAAGAAAATAACCGAAACAATTGATTTCCTGAGCATTACTCCCTTTCAACACATTGGAACTTTTGTGGTAGCAAGTTTCAAATTGGAAAACTCCTGCTCACCTCCATTTTCAGGGTAAAGAAACAAATATAGTACATGTACAAGTATGGATAGGAGGCTACCTTTTCATGGCTGTAATCATTTGCATCAGTATAAAACAACTACAAACATGGCAGTATGTTTGTAGCCATGAGCCTCCTCCCAGTCAAGAAAGGAGCAGAGCAAATAGAATTGATTCTATTTGCATCAGAAACCTTCTCCAAGAAAGATGTCTACAAAGTGGGAGTAAAAAGGAAAACAGGAAAGGCAGGCATTATGTGAGCTGAAGGACAAAGCCAAAACCTGGTAACGTACTAGAAATGTTCCTCCTACTCCCCTGCTCCTGGTCCAATTTCCTTAACTCATTGCACCATCAAGATCTGCAAACTGAGCATAGAAGAGAAAAGTAACTGGTGCCAAGTTCTTGCAAACTTTCCAGCAATTTGGACAAAGAGCATTTCAGTCCACTAGCACACCATTTCCAATGAAAGCTCCACTGGAAATGGTGTGCTGCATAGTTTCTTACAAAACAGTTGAGAGAGATCAGAGATGCCATTTACTCCTGTAGTCCCTACTGGATTAATAAGAGATCCCCACACATTCAGCCAAGTGATACTCTTGCTCTCTCTTGACCAAACTGCTATATTTCTATACTCTGCTGCTGAAGTGTTTAAGAGCAACTAGTACTTCTAGGGGAAAAACATAGGAAAATGTAAAAAGAAAATATATATATATAAAATATATATATATAAAATATATATTACGACATTCCAGGAAACCCATTTCTCACGGCAGCAGTAATGTTGACAATGACTCCTCCATGTTCCTGCATCCAGGCATTGTACACTGTATGAAGGAGGAAGATAACCTATAAATATCAGAAGAAATGCATACAAATGAACTTGCCAATTGGAAGACAAATTTGGAGTCCTAACTGCAACCACAGCACACATTTTCCCAAATCTGCTCTTTGAACCGCACTCTTGCCAAGCCAGAGGTGAGGTTATGGGATGACAGGTGTAGTACAGGTAAGGCTCAATGATTGTCAAGAGGCATTTGGTGGAAATCAAGATTTCATGGTTTTACTATTTATGTAATGTAAATTACTTTCACTTCCACATTCCAACTATTATCTGAGAATCACATGCCATACTTAAATTTAAGCTTAAATTTATATCCATGAAGGGAAAGTATTTTCCTGTGTTACACACAGTAAATACAGGCCCCAGAAGTTAAGTGGTTTTCCTATAGTGTATTAAGTGAGTATCCAAGCCAACTGTCTCCCCAAACCTGGTCTTAACCAGAAGATCATACTTGCCTAAATGTATCTTTGTATATATGAACAAATGTAATGTACCATTTAATGCAAAACTTTGGATGAGATTCATGAAAACAAATACCCACTGTCAGATAAGAATGTGTCTTCTGGTATTGCTGTAAAAAAAGTGAAAAAATAAACAAAACAAAAAAAAGCTTTATGTTCAGACCTTACCTGCTTTGCAGCAATAGAAGGTCCCTGTCAGATTCGTGTCTATTACAGCATTCCAGCCTTTTGCACGGATGGCTTCAGATGGACTTGCAAATTGGCCCCCTCCATTATTCACCAGGAAATCAATCTTCCCATGCAGACTCAGTGTAGACTTCACCAAAGCTTCTACCTGAAATAATATTTGTTAGTGTGGTATGCTGATTAAGCCCTGTACCCAATTTCATTCTCAGACAATATTTTCTCTCTCATACCCCTTCACAGAACAAGAGGAGGTCCAGCCTTCAAAGAGGCTGTAAGGTTTAGTTATCCAAGAAGGGCTGAGCTGTGTCCATGTTTATTTAGGAAATCTTGCTGGTATAATGCAGGTGCTACATAAAATACCAGCACCAAAAGAAGAAGGGGATTTAAGCTGCTGAAGATCTGTATAGTCAAACACACACAGAAGCTACACAAGTCTTACCGAGAAAATCCCCTGACATTTTTCAAAAGGGTGGGGGTGCTCACATCAGATGCTCGAAGAGCTCCATAGAGGGTAACTACTGCTTTTTTATTTGGCCAGTACACCTGAGCATTCTAAATAGAAAACGTAAGTCATCTTGTGGAGTTTTAACATTCTTACCTAGAAATTTTGTACATTCACTAAAACTATGACATATGAGTTGGCAACAGTCAATCTTCTTACACAGACCAAGAAGGTTAGTTACCCTACAAAACATGAGCTCTAAAAAATGCTGGAAATGCAAGTTATCTTCTTTAGCAAAAATATTATTACAAGATAGTAGTAAGAACTCCATAGCAGCTAATAAATAATTTAACCTTTATCTCAAAAAATGGGAAATGGGACAACATGACTGTTTCCTGCTTACATCATCAATCATAACTAGATACCATGCATCAGTTTTGCCTACTCAAGCATACATGAAGTTATTAGCATCTGTGGTTAAATAAAACACAGACCAAAAAACCAACAGAAAAATAAACAATTGCAGTGATGCTGCTGCTCAAACAGATTGGACTAGGGGAAGGATATCTATCAGCCTTTCTCTGTATATAGTTAACAATAGAAAACATCAGAAAAAAAAGAGCAAGCAATGCGTGATCTGTATCTCACCATGTCAGCTACTCAATCTCATAAATAGCTGCCTGATATCTTTTGTTGCTAACAGTTTCAGATGATTTAACAGGATAGTATGGATCCTGCGAGGATGCACCTCTCTGAAGAAAAAAATGTAAACAAACATAAAGTGACTGAAGCCTGACTGAAAAACCAATGCCTGCTGAGAAAGAAGGCCTCAAGGAAATAATTTTGATACTTAAACCACCATCTTTAAATTCTGAATGTCATCTTATTTCTAACATCAGCTACTGCACCTTGAGATGCACTTCTGAGGGGAAAAAGCCCTAGAAAACCAAAACATGACAGCTGTAATACACTGGATTATTATAATAATTACAGGCTCAGACCAACTCCAGTGTGTATGTGGAGGGGGGGGGGGGCGAGGGACTGTTCAAATTTTAATTCTGTTCACGAAAAGCAGGAATGGCCAGCAGGCTCTCTAGTGACAGCTCAGGTGCCTCCAAATATAGCAATTTTCACAATGTCTTCTGTGTTGTAGAAAAAACATCGTTGCAGTGCTTCTCCCAGTCACCACCCAGTAAACATGACAGCAGCCAGCAGCACAGAGAGGAGGAGAGTCTGGTAGAACACATTTAAATCACAGCAAGAACTCAAGAAGATTCTTTTCCAGTCCTATAATTTCAAAATGCACTTAGAAAAGTTACTAAACACTCTCTTTGTAAGCAAAGCAAAGCCTCAAGAGGTAGAGCTACTAGTTTAGGACATTCTTCTGGAAAAGACTGAAAAGAGCAAAATCAGGCATTTCAGACATAACCAGAACATTGGAGCTCTTCAATAAGGGACATTTGTGTGTGACTGCAACTCAAAAGTATTATGCAGTAGCACACTTTCACAGATAACCAAGATGACAGTAGTTGGACAAATGTCCACAAGCATTCACAGGTCACTCTGAACTTAAATAAAACTCACAGGCAAACAACCCACTACAGAGTGTTGGAGATTTACTATTTGGGAACTGAAACTAGTAGGTATTCTGGCACAGTGATAACAGGCATTTTTACTTCATGTTTTTGCTTTGTTATTTAAAAGTACAACAACAGGAATCTCTTACCCACAACTCCCCTCCAAGCCACGGTCTTCCAGTACAGGCTTCATAGAGACAGGCATTAAGCATTTATAAACCAACGGAGCCTACGCTAAGCTACAGCTTTATTGGAAAAGAAAAACTACTAGTGAACTCAGACACAAGGTAAGTGCTAAGTAGTACTATATATGGAGTCTGTCTGAAGAAGTCCTGTTTGTCAGATGTCCAAGTGACAGGTTTTACCCTTGGGGTCTGGTCCAGCAGCAGGAGCTTGAGTGTGAAAATTCTGTGCACAGGATTCTGAATTGTTGACTACAAGAACAGAAGTGGCTTACCAGAAGTACAAGGTTTTATCTTCCACTTACCTATACATGTCTTCTACTTATCTAAGTGCCAGTTAAAGAAACGTTTGTCCATAGCATATAGCAAAAAGGCTTTACAAAGGTAAAAAGTTCCTCATGTCTTGCCTCATCAATAGATTTGTCATAGCTCCCCATTTAAGATGCTCAAATACTTTCTTCCCCTTCCAAATACATAGAGAGGTAAATAGAAAGCTCTTTTCATAATGGAGAAAGGATGGGGTCTCTCCCCTCTGCTCTGGTCACTGTTACATTAAGGCAGTGAAATTGATTAAATATGTCCTTGGATTTTGGACAAAGAGCTTGGTTGGAAAAGACACACATGACAGAGCTGTCTGGTTTGCATCTCAGCAAGAGCAAACTGACCTGCTCTCAACAGGTTATGTGGGCAGTGCTAGCAAATATGCAAACAATTAAAATCACTTCAGCTTCATAATCATAAAGAAGCAACATCTATCACTACCTACAGACAACAGGATAAGGGAGAGGCGCATAACCACTGCTCCAGGATAAGGCCCTACAACAGAATACAGGAGCCTCAGATCCTCTTACTGGCATCCCAGAACCCTCTACTCTTCCATTCTAAAAAATAAAAACGGGGTTTTATCCTTTACAGAACACTCAATGGAAAACTAGTAAAAATAAGCAGCAAACTCATGACAAAAATAAGCTTGACAGGTTATGCAGTAGCTGAAAATCCTCCATCAAGGTGGATTATTTCCTGCAAATTAAACGAAAAGTAAGCTTTGCTAGAAAGCAAGAGGGCTTCTGAGGATGAAGATTTAGAGACTTAAAAATGTGAATTAATTAAGCTATCCCCGTGATATCCGCCATCAAGCTTCTGCAGCAATTAATTCACTGCACTTTATTTGACTCTTGCTAAGCCAGAAAGAGCTCTAACAAATATATTGCATTATGTGATGAGTGATAAATCTTCTAGTGCTTGAATTTCACAGATCAAAACTAGAGGAATGAACTGTGTCATCTTCAAAGTAGGTCAGTTACTTTAAGATTTGCAATAGGAGGTAAAAAAAATAATAATCTGGCAATTTGAATGTACCTTCATCTTTCTGAAATGTCCTCTATTCTAAGTTCCTCCTTCCAGTTTGCCTGGTTATAAAATGAAAACCAGGACAGGATTCATAGAGGCCTTTAGAAAAATGCAGAACTGATGGAGAAGAAGGGATGAAAAAAAAAAAAAAAGCATGTTACAGTAACAACAGATGGCTTGTTCCTACAGGTGATCATGGTGGCTTCCTTAAAAAGAAAGATTTACTCTTAGAAAGACTTCAGTGAGATGTCAGACAGAAGGATATACTAAATGAACTATGGAGTTGCTCAGGAAGCTTCCTGGGCTTTGTAGCTTGTGATGGATCAGTTCTGACATCTAAGAGGGCTTGAACTCCTAAGGTTTTTTTTCCCTTGTTGAAACATTTATAATGTTTTTCTCCTGCACAAGTTCTTTGGTACCCGGTATAAGAGCTGAGAAAGAGGATATAATGGTTCACATGGAATCCTTGCAGAGGCTGTTCTCTCACCCAACAATGTGTTTCCTTAATTTCTGAGGTAAATACTCTTCACTAATACTAAACTGAAAGCAGACAATGAGTTGTAAAACTACTAATGAGTAGCATACAGAGCCAACACAGTTGTACAAGTCTTGTTGCTTTCTGTATTTGTGAAAATACTGAAATGAGTTGTGTTACTGTGTTGCCTTTACTTAAGATTAAACTCTGAGGCTAGAAAATCCTCCACTACATCTCTTACTGATCCCTGGTTTTAAGACTTGAAGTCCCAGGCACGAAATTTTAGGTTAAGAATGGAGTACATTTTGAAAGTGGATGTACGATGCTCTTTGAATCAAAGTAATGCCCAAAGGTACTTCTCCTCTAGTTTCCCCAAGGCAATCAAGTGCAAATTAGAAAGAAGTATTCACCACTGCTGCTCTTAGCAAACATCATAAATGAGCAATAGTAAGCAATGGGTTGTGGAAAACCTGCCACAAGTCTCAGTTCTGACAGTTTTCAGCAGTTTAAGTTAACGATTGTTAATTTGAGCTTATCTAGTTTCAACTTACAAACAAACAGAAATACCTAAGTGTAAAGAAGTGCTATCCTCACTACAAACTGAAAACCTGAAAACATGATCCACATATTTCTGGTTCAACAGTAATTTTAGAAATTAAATAACAAGTGGCTGTGATTTAGTAATCTCTGAGAATTTCAAGCATTGAAGAACTAAAGGAGAACAGAGACAGAAAACCAAGAGCTAAAGAACAAAAATTGCAGGATGTCTCTAACCAGCAAAATAAATCTGGTCTTGGAGATGGGCATCTGGAATGGACAAATATTTGTTTAACAGATACACAAGTTCTTATGTTAACATATAACAGAAATTGCATTCCTTATTCAAATCTTCAGCAAAGAGCTTAAGAAATTTTCAGAGTGATTTTTTTCTGAAAAGGAGTTCAACAGAAAGAAGTAAGAGCAGCTGAAGAACTGAAGTGAGTCAAACTATAAAACTGGACCAACAACTGATAAATTCAAGACTGGAGCTTAATCTGCCTTACTCCTCTGAACCCTTTCTTCAATAGATACAGATCTGAAAAGACAGTGTTTAAAGAGAACTTCCACTGGCAGATGACACCCAATAGAAGCTTCACCAATATCATGTGGAAAGTTCTAAGAAAGTTCTGGCATGTCTCTAAATGAACAGAGCTTAAAACTAAACTGGAAAGAGGACAATTCTGTGATAAAACTGCAGGGTAATAGCAAAGACAAAAGTTTCTTCAAGTATCAGCATGGCTACCTGTAAGACAGAATAATGCCTAAACACTTTACACAGCACTATAAAGAAGGCTTCAAAAGCACCTTCAAAAATTTTCAAAGCCACTTAAGCCTGTCAAATAGTTATTTAGCCAAAGAAGGAAACAAAGGAGGAATGGCAGCTTAGTGAAGAGTACCTCATTTCACCATTAAGCCCTGTACCATCTCATTGAGCACTTTAGTTCCCACTAAATCATTTTTAAACTGATACAGAAATGAGACTCACATGCAGATGGTTATTAAGCCTCACAGAGTACTTTCTGCAAGAAAAAGACATTTTTCTCTCTTTACCCCTTTTCTGTAGCTTTAATCACGTAAGTTGCCCTCTGACATCTGTCATAACCTATTATGTTGCACTGCTGATGCTAGTAAATACAAATCTAAAATTCACTGCTAGGTGAAGTGACATACTGCACAGCCCCAGGGTTCACCTCCTTCAGGAGAGAAAGTCTGAGTATATAGCTATAAATATTTTATGGCACGCACTGTTTCAGGAGGGAAAAAATTTTATTTTTTATTTGTTTTATGGTTATATATTAGGTTATTTCCAGAATCTTCATAGCTTCTGAAGGTCATTAATATGTAAGTTATTCAACAGAGACCTTGAGAGGTTAAAAAAATGTAGTAATCAGTGGTTACTGGAAGCTTTTCTAGCTGTCTTCAATAAGCTAAAAATCCAACCTGAAGTTGGACTTTTAAATATTTAATTATACAGATAAAAAATTAGGAGATGCATGCAAACTTCTGAAGAACCTGGATTAAGGACTTTGGCTCTTGATCTTTCATTTTTTGGAATAAAAAGAAAATAGAAAAAAAAACAACTGGAATAGTAATAAAGTTTGCAATGAGGCACACCTCAAACTGTAACCAAAATTTAAACATGGCTAAAATATTATAAATCTGTGGGGAGATTTTTGGCTTTAATACAAACTAAAATGAAAATGCATGGCACTTGTGTCAAGTCACAAGCACTGAAATCCCATGCCTTCTTGTTTGAAGGAACTATTCTGAGGTCTCCATCTTCACAAGTTTACACCCCCTCACTTCTGTCACAGAAATGTGACGAATAATCATACTAAGTAGGCTCTGGCTCGGCTGTAGAACATGCCAGTTCCAAGGCCTGCTTCTCCCAAAAACTTCTGAAATATGTAAGCCTGGTCAGAAGAACATCTGCAATTACAAATGCTTTCTTGCTGAGGTAGCTAACAAATGTCTTTCCTCGGAAAGCACATACTCTGATCTAAGCTACTTTTGGCGGGGGTAGAGACCTTTGGAGATGTGAGAATTTATATACACAATATGCTTTTGACATATGAAGCCTCAGAACAAGATCACTAGTCTTTACCTCTTCTTCCTTGCGGATATTGCACTGTATGGGTGTCACTTTGGCAGGACTCATGGAAGAAAACATACAATTTAGTTCTTCTGCAGCAGCTTTTAATCGGTCAAATTTACGAGAGGCAATAACAACACTGCAACCTGTAGAGACAAAATGAAACATTCTTCAGCTAATGGAATTATGCTATTTTTTTAATACCATCATGGAGATACCTGGAAAACTGCACCATCATTAGTCACTGACTAGAAGATACAGTGTTGAATTTCTTGCAAGAGAGAGAAATGACTGATGTCAGGCGCTTCTTAGCAACAAGATCCCTTTGTGCCAGGAAAAGAGCAATCAAAAAAAAAAAAAAGTCCACAAGGCTCCCTCTCCTTCCTGCAGAGGGGAAGATAGCCTGTGAATTGCAGAGTCAGCAAAGCAGCTTTCAAATATCACTTTTGCTGCCTCTGCTCACAGCTGCCTCATTTATCAATTAAGTGATTTAAAGATGTTTCAGCAGGTCTTGATTACAAAAAAATGCTTGCTTCTAAAGACACAAAAATATTCTTACTGTGTGACTGGCTGTAATTTTGACTAGCAGTGAGCAAATGTAACGCTCTGCTTTTTAACCCTACAGAGACCGAAGGAAAGGATAATAGGCTCACGAGATTAATCCCTATCTGCAGACTACAGACAGCAGGAAGAGGCTTTCCTGTGGCACTGCAGAATCCTAGCTGCAGAAAGGAGAGGGAAAAAATAGGCAGGAGCTCAAGTATTCTGGGTTTTTTCAGCATTTGGAGGCAGAAGGACTTATTCTACAGAGAAAAAATAATGCAAATGCCAAATTAAAGGCAACCACTCACATTACAACCAGTCTAGTTTCTTCTGTCACACCAGTGGACTCAGGATAGCTTTAAGGATTCAACAACTGCTACCACATAGACTAAACCAAAGCACACTGAATTAATTCCTAGTGCAAATCCAGTAGGCATGCAATTTCATATCGTGGATAAGCAAATTACTAGCTCCCACTGCCAAGCAGACAAGGAAGTCTTATTCCCAGTTTGCTCTGCTGCTCCCATAATCTTAGTACCCCAGCAGAAGTCATCCATTCCTCATACCAGGTTAACTGCTTATCTGCTTTAACAAAAACCAATTCAACACTCGCAATTAGTAAAAAAAAAAAAAAAAAAAAATTCACATCTCGCCAGGTGTAGGGGTTTTTTTTCCCCTCCTCTGTTGCCAAGTGGAATTTGGCCTCTCATGTGATCAAACACCAGAATCAACTCGAAATAACTAGTGGGAGGAAGAAGCAGCAAGCTGTTAATTTGACTCAGGCTGTCTTATGAAAATATACATAAAACAAAACAAAAAACCTAACCAACAAAAAACAAACAAAAACCCCAAAAAACCCCAAAACAAAAACAAACAAAACCAAAAAAAACCCAAACCAAAACAAACAAGCAAAAATAAAAACCAGCCAAAAAATAGTTGAATTCTCCCAGAAAAAGTGCTGCAACTACCTATCCCTAGGAATGGGAGCTTCACCTTTAATCAGTGACCATCTTAAAACAATATACATAAAGATAGTAGTCTCTGAGGTCTCCTGATATTTTAAATTAAGAACTCCAGTCACTTGAACAACCACCTGACAAACGCAGAGTCCTTAAAATGGCACACACAATTACCAATTAACACAAATACTGAGCCAGAGTAGCACAGTTATATTTATCAACTTAACTGCTTACTAATATACACACTGATAAAGTCCAGTAAAAGACTATGTTTTTGCTAACTATGCTAATTGGGAGAGGGAGCTATTACAACTCATTAGAAACACTTGGTACCTACTACACAAGCTGACACTACTTCATTTATTTTTCTTCATGACAGTCATGACTGGCATTATGTGTCATTGCTCAGCCCACAGTGAAGATGTTCTTCAACTTCAGGACATGCCTGTCACAGGCACTGAGAGAGAAGCACCACGTTTCTAATATTACTGTGTGGACAGCAGTTCAAAACGACTCTGCTCCGCAAGGCTCCGTTCAACAAACCGATAAATCCTCCAGTGAACGCAAGATGAAAACTCACTGAAGGAAGAGTCTGAGAGAAAGGGTCCGGGTTTAACATGACCTCACTGTGACCGCTGTGTTTAAAACCTTTTACGTGCCAGCGGGCCGAAAGGCACAGCCCCGCACCAACCTCACCTTGTGGCCCTCGCCGTTCACCGCCCCTGTCACAGCGTCCCACCCACTCGCTCCTGGCAGCGCCGCCAGCCCCCCAAAAGCACCGCAGCCCGCGGGGCGCTCCCCGGCCGTCCCTCAAACCTCATCCGACCCCCTGCACCCTCCTCGCTCCGCTGCCCCACCGGGGCTCCCCGCGGAGCCCCCGCCCCTCCCCGCGCCCACCTAGCGCCAGCAGGTCGGCGGCGATGGCCTTGCCGATGCCGGTGCCGCCGCCGGTGACGATGGCGACCCGCCCGCGGAACAGCCCCGCCGCCAGCAGCCCGCGCCCCGCGGCCGCCATCTTCCCCCTCCCTCCGTGCCCGCACACCGCCCCCGCCGAGTGACGCGCGGCCCCGCCCGCCCGGGGCTCAGCGCCGGGGACGGAGGCAGCGGAGCGGCGGCACCAGCGCTGCCGGCGGTGCCCGGGGTCCTGCGGCGCAGCTCCGCGGGCGGCAGGTAAGGGCGGGCGGCTGTACGGGGTCAGGAACGCCCAGGTCCGACCCCGACCCCGCGGGGGACACACCGCTCAGCAGCGGGGAGGGGTCGGTGGCGCCCCGGGGTCGCCGCTGCAGCGAGCGCCCACCTGCCCCCAGCCGCGGTCGGGTTGCCGTGTTTTTCCGCACCGCTCCGGGTCACCTTCCCCATGGATGCGGGCAGGCACGCTCAGGATCAGCGGGAGCGGAGCCCGGGCCGGGGGAATGCCCATGAGGTGTCACGGTGCGCAGGGAAAGGTGCTGGTGTGCGCCGGCCGCGGACCCGCGGGCGGGGAGTCCTCTCTCCGCGCCCTGGAGGCTGAGGATGTAGCGTTTACCATGTCCCCAGTATAGTAATTTTGGGCTAAGATGCCTTTGTGGTGCTGTTCCCCCCCCCCCCACCCCCCCCCAGCCCCAGAAATCGCCCTAACTAAGCGCAGTATTTATTGCTCAATTGTTCAGTGAACAGCCAACATTATTTTCCTTTCTATCCTACAGTGAAGTGACAGAGCATCTTTGTCAATTGCAGGTGATATTAACCAGCGCTGATGTGCCCAGCAGCGTCTGTGTGCATGTTCAGTGTCTTTCCAGGCATCTCCTCTGCCCTTTTCAATAGAAGAGATGTTTGAAAGTATGTCTTAATTTTGTCTTGTCATTTTTGCTTTAGGAGGGTTGGCTAATATGAGAAGACAGTGAGAATTGTTTTTTTTAAAAAGACACATATAGGTAAAGTGGGAGAATCACTGAGTCTGTTGTGGTTTTCTCATTTGTTAAACAAATTTATTTACTTTTCCCAAAACATTTTCTGAGGTTTAATGCTTTAAATCTGAGACAATTTTAGGATAACATCTTTATCCTGCAGTTCAGTGTTTTTCAACAGAAACTGTATATCCTCCTTTAAAGTGTAGGGAAGAGAAGGCACAGAGAAGTTAGCAGTATGTCCAGGCTCATTCAGCAAAGGGTGGCAAGACAGGAGTGGATTTATGCACAGTGGCTTAGGCCAGTGAGACAACCATTAGAAAAATTTGCATTTTTTTGGGTGGGTTAATGTTTGTAGAATCCTTTAATGTTTTATAGCACTCCACTTTCTGGAGGTAAAACATGAAGCACTGTGAGTGACACTGCAAAAAAAAAAATTTCCCCTCCTTTAATTATCTTCCACAATCTGAGACTTCACAGATCCCTATTAACTGTCTCTGGCTGCCCTACATATCTCAGGCAGGCTGTATCAGAGTGATCATTAATTAATCCCAGGGAGAAGCACTCATCTGTGCTAGTGAATTAGATTTTTCATACTCCAACCTGCCTGCCATCCCAACTGAGCTGCAGGGCTCCAAAGGAAATCCGGAGAGCCTCTATGCTCATGTGACCTCCTTGATATCACTATTAAATGATTTTTTCCCCCCCTATCAGGATATATTGCTTGGTTTTTGGAATTTCTCAGTAGCCACAGAAATGCAATTAATAAGGGACTGAAGGTGTTGGTTAAGATTCTGTTAGTGATGGGTGGGAGGAGAAAGGGGAAAGGTATACAGACTAGAGATGAAGAAGGAGAGAAAAGGAGACATCCATTCCTTGGCCACCAATGGAGGGTAGCCCCTTCTGGTACAAAATCTATCCACAGAGAATAGAGCTGAGATAACAAATACTCACAGACATTTTCAGCAAGGCAGTGGCTTCTGTTCACTGTTGTGTAGGTTGCCTTTGAACCAAGGATTCAAACTGTACCTTTGTGTGACTTGATTTTACTTCAGGGCTTGAAATTCAAAATTATTTAAGCTGAAAGGGAGAAAATCTTATTAACTAAAATAAATTTTAATCTTCTCATATGCTTGTTCTTTCTTAATCACAAAGGAATGTTAATTTTATTGGTAGCACTAAAACATGTTGGTCTGTCACTACATGCAGCCATAGTGGTAAATTAGTAAGCAGAAGGCTCTTACGTATTTATGTTACTCTATAAACTTAATGTTCAGATTCTGAATTTTTATGTGTTAGAAAATAGTGTCTGATTAGACAGCTTATTCTTTATTTATTTTTTCAGTATATGTCAGCTTGAATTTGGAAGAAAATAAATCTGCATTTAAAGCCTCGGAGTCAAAATTTTCATTTTTTGGAGTTAACTGTCTGAATTTTTTTTGCCTTGGTATATCTATCACTTTAAAAATTCAAAAAACAAAATGACACATTTAGGAAAAAGAATTAATCTGTAGTTTTTTCCAGTTGTCATCTCCTTTGGAGTTGTGGGATTAGCACATGTCATTCTTGAACATTTACTTTTTTTATTTATATATCAAAGAGGAAAAACTAGATTTCCTGTTTTTACAGCTCCCAGATTGTATCTTGGCTTTGAATGAACTAGTTCAATTTGTTGAGATGAATAGGAAACTCCGCATTTTCAGAAAAGGCTACTTTTGTCCAAAACTGATGTGCTTTGCCAGCCTATGGCTCAGCTATTCAGCTGATGACATCTGCCAGTCCAGAACTCTGCCATGCTTTAAAAATCCTGGCACTGATAGGTACTGCCTTAATAATTCCTTGTATCATGCTATCCTTCAGGGTGTCTGTGCCCTCCTGTAGCTTATAATCCTTTTTGGCAAGGGGGAAGGTCTCACGGTTGTTAAATACCAACCTGATGTGAGAAAACAGATGGCTCCAAACAGGAGAGAAACCTCCACAGGATCCAAACCCCAGGAGAGGTATCCCTGGGGTCAGCAATCTGACAAGGAGGCAAGAGCAGAAGAGATTTAATGAAAAGCATCTTAGTGCCAGAAACAAAATTTTAATGTCAGAGACCATTTCTAACAGAGGGCTTTTGCAAAAAAAAAGTGGTTCCACTGCAGCAGCCTCTGCTTTTGCAGACCCCACTCTTATAGGTGCTCCAGGTTCGTATCTTCTCCTGGGATACCGAACTACACAAAGTATCACAACACTAATTTCTTCCCTCCCCATACCTATTACAAGAAATGCCTGGATTGAGTCAAAACCAAATGAAAACCAGTGTGAGTTTCAGTGTCTTTATCTCTCTGGACCTTTCAGTGGGATTATGCAACAGGCCTCGTTGGAAATCCCTGCTACTTTCACCTCCTGTACATTCTTCCCTGAGACTGTTCTTCCTTTCATTGTTTCTCACCAGCAAGTGAGAGCGTTGCTGTTTTGTGGCCTCTGGTTTCCATGTCAGAACAGCCTCCTGGTCAGCCCCAGCTGATGTTCAGGCTCTCTGGTCAATTAATCTCTTTAGGGACTTCCTCTCTGGAAAGGTACTTTACTCTCAGCCGTATCTTGGGGGATTTCAGTCTAATTAGGAGATAATCAGGATTTTACAGCCTTTCATTATTATCCCTAGGAATTTCATTCCAGTGATAAAAAAAAATGCAGGAGATACCAAGAAAGACATCCCACTCAAAGCAGAGTTTGTAGTGGTGCAAGATGTAATATATCAGCATCAAACAGTTTGAAACAGGTACGTTGACAGATTTTCTTAATAATCACACACCCTGCTAATACCTTACTAATGATACTAAATCATTCACTTGTCTGCAATTCAAAGTGCTGCATTTTTAATATCCCGGCATCATGGATCTCTATCTGCACTTGTATCCAATCGCAAGTCCCCTGAGCCAAGTAATTCCTGCTGCTGGAGATACTGTCTAAATACCTTAGATTATATTTACTGTGCAATGCATTAAACAATCCTGAATCACTCCCAGGGGAATCTTCCAGTTCTCTCTCTGTGCAGTTGTGCTCTCCAGCAGTTCCTGGGCTGCAGCCAGGCGTTACTCTGAGCAAGTTCTGATTGAAGCCCCCAGATATCTTGCCTAAATAAGAATCATAGACTGTATCCTCATCTCAGTATTTTTCAGATGACCCTTTCCAGACCAGATTTACAATTGACTGCGTTTTCCATTAGGCTGTATGACTGCAACTGCTTCCTCTCTAATTCCAATTATTTTGATGTGTGGTCTCCTCATTTTGTCTGAGTAAAACATCAGGGTGCTTGATCTTGCCGGTACAGAGCAGGGCAAGAAAGGGGACTGAGACGGTCAGGGGTCTTCTGAGCAGTGAGGAAGGAAAAAGAGCCTGAGATGTCAACAAGGATCCTTGTTTTTAATTATTGTCAAGGTCAGACAATAGTCTAGCATGCATTAAAACATCCTCTTGAGAGCAGTGCATGATGGAGTCCTTCACTGACATCACCTGCCAGCCAGGTCTGTAGCAGATGTTTTGTGTCAGCCCAAGTGTGTCACACCCACCACTGGTGCTTCATGCCTTTGGAGGCTTCAGGCACAGCAACTCCTGGTGTTTTTTACTTGCGTGTATACGTATGTGTATACACTCTGTAGAAGGTATTTTCTCTGCATGCTGGTAAGGGAGGTGAGCAGCTCAAAACTCCATTTTCACATACTACATGCTTGTTCTGTTACTGTTTTCTAGGCATCTGCTTGGATGCCTGAAGGGGATGAGGCACACCTCTGGTTTGTCGTATGCAGTAAGTTCCTAGTGCATCGTCCAATCACAAGGTAGAACAAATTGGGTATTACACCAATAAAAATAGATGCTACACATGATCCTAGCCTAATAAAAGCACTGCTGTGGAGGCAGGATATTGGACTAAAATTGGTGGGATTGACTAAGTTCAGCTGTTCCTATGGTATGGTGTATGGATGGGGTAGGGATTACAATCAGCACCTGATGTTTCAAGGTGCAAGATGGCCTGTTTTGGCAAATGCAGAACTGAGGGGTAGAGCAGGGGAACAGAGAAAGTGTCTCTCCACTTTACGGTTGACATTTTTTTTCCACACAAGATTTAGGGACTTCTGTTTGCTCAAGATTCATATCTAAATGCTTGGTTTGCTTTGAAGATTTCAAACCAACTTCCATTTCCAAGTCATGCTGCTTTGAAAGCCTTGGTTGTCTTTAAAGGCTAATGTGCACATGCCATTCCTTGACATTTTTAGCATTGTATAATAAAGAAACAAATATAATCCATGTGGAGGTACAGGAAAGCTTTGTGTCCTTTGTCTCAATTTTTCTTTCTTTTAGCAGTCTGGACAAAGAAGTGGGAGGACGAGGGCAGGACAGCACTTCAGGCTTTTGCTCTAAAAGAAGATAGACCAGTACAGTTTGAGGATTTAAAAAAAGTTGGTATGCAAGAAATCGATTAGGCATTTCATTTAATATAAAATAAAAATGCTCAGCTATTTTTTATGCTGTCTTCCAGTCTTCAGTAATAAGTGATCTACACAGCAGTTATTATTCTGTGACATTTGGAAAAGTTATGGAACAGCAGAGGAAAATAAAAAGACCTGATTCATAAAACATATGCTCTGTAAAATGTCCTTGACTTTAAAAAAAATCCTTTGAAAATGTCATTCAGAAACAATATAGTAATACTTTGGAATGCTACTTCTTTTTTTTACTTTTTTTTTTTTTTTTTTTTTTGGTATCTGTACAATACTGTCAGCAAGCATTTGGATGTCTTATGGAAGGCTGGAAGGGAGAGCAGGGGGCCTGAGCAACCCAGCATGGCCTCGGGAGCCAGTAAGCCCTTAATCCACACACAAGCAAGTCTAGTCTTGCTGCTCTTTCAGTGATGGTCGACCAGCTGAGTTGGCCAATGCAGATCTGGCTCATAGTGCCAGCAGGATGGGCTCAGTAGCTGCTCAGCAGTGTGATGCAGGCTGGCACTAGTGCCACCTGCCTACAGGCAGGAGCTGTGTGCCAGTGATAAATTGGAAGGACTGGGCAAACTTGGGTCTGTCATTGCTTGTCTGCAGAAGTTGTGTCGCCTGCCCACAGCTCCCTCTGCTTTTAGCTTGAGCTTTTAGCACCTTCTGCTCCTGAGGAGAAGACATGAAGCAGAGAAGGGGCTCCATTAGCAAACACCCATAAAGTTTTTGGTGGCATGAGTCATATTACTGTGCTATCCCTTCTGCTTGGGTGCTCTGTGCCTGTCTCTGCTTTTGGCCATCCAGCCTGAAGTCTGCTCCTGCTTGGATGCACGCCCAGAGCATGGTCATTTTTCTTGTCTCTCTCTCCAGGACATGAAAGTGCTTTGAACTCTGTAGATTAAGCAGGAAGGGAAAGATGGGTGTTATCTATGAACTTGGCCATTTGCTTTCTTTTACCTTGCTGGGGTGGCAGAGGCGGATGTTCCTCTTTGTGCCTCTTGCTGTTACACAGACACTTAATGCAGCCTCAGAACGGGCCACTGCCAGGAGAGGTAGTTTTCTCTTCCTTGCTTGGACATTCTTTCCTCTAGAAGGAGCTACACAGTGAACCTGATGAGCGAATCCATCTGGCTAAAAATAACATTTTATTATTTTCTGTGAGATAAATCCCCCTGTCAAGCTTACCACAAGTTGCACAGACACTAGTACTGATAGGGAGGGGCTGTTCTTACCTTGCCATCTAATATGTCATTCATCCCAGCCTTGAGTCTTTGCTAGATTCCGTGCAATCTAGTTTGAGCTATTTCACCATGAAACAAAGAGAAGACAGGCATCCTGTGTTTCAGTAGGTGAAGATGCATATGTGAAAGATAACGTGGAGTCATTAAGTATTTAAAACAGATACAAAGCTGTTGAGGGAGCCCAACTATTTGGCCCCTTCCCTACATAAGATCTGAATTAAATATGCTTTCTTACATAGGTCTTGCACATGTTTTTGTTGGGTCTGGGGCTGTATTTCTGCATTAGACCAATGCACTTTGTTATAACACAATTGACTGGTGACAGACAGATCTGTCCTGAACAGCTGGATGCATCTAATACCATCTATTTTTCATGTATACAATCTGCCAGCAGATAACCCCTTTAAAAATTACTAGGGATTGAAAAAGATCTTTTTGGGTAACATGCCTGCTTAAAAACATACATGCATATGCACAAAATCAGGGGCAGGCTTGGGTGGAGATAGGGTTGGGGATGCAGTGGTTATGGAAGCAAAGGAAGATCCAGGGCTGGGAAGCTCTCTCTTGAGGTGTGTCTCTGGGGTAAATTTCCCTTTATCTTTTTCCTGTCCTGCATAACTCACAGTGCTTCTAAAGCACCAGTTGTTTTTTTTTTTCTGCAGACAACCCCTGCATGATGTGACTGAAGATACAGTGCCACTTCTTCTTATGTTATACATTTTCTGTGACTATAAAAATAAAAATTGATGCTCCTTGCTGCTTACTGTCTACATTTTTTCCTCTCCTGTCTGCTCTGAGCAGTCATAAAAAGGTTACTTGTGCTATAGCAGGGATTTAAGATAAAGGATTTTATTAGCTTGCAGGAGGGCTCTTCCTTCCTATCTGCATTCAAACCGGATAATTTCTCTTCTGTTAGTAGCAGGATCAAGCCCTGAAAACCAAGGGAAGAAGCTTTCTTTGACCTAAATGGTGCAAGGCCAAGCTTTTAGGCTCCTGTTTTGTGTGTCAAAGACTATTCCTGTCATGGGAAGCATAAGTAGCAGTAGCTTTCCTGCATAGTAACAGAAGACTCTGCTTCTAAAAATTCCTCTACTGAGTGTTTTTGCAGAGTTGCCTCCCCAGGGTTCTCCATCTGTTTTCATATGGAGATTAATAACAAATTGTTTGGCTAATAAACTGCTCCCTGCTATCTCTGAAATGTGACCATTTCTTTCCCTTCCCTCCCATGGACAGTTATTAGATTCCTGTCTGTCCCTGTGCTCCCACATGGGAGACATCACTAATATGAGATGCTCAGCTTTTGTCATGCTGCAGCTCCACAGCAAGGCTTTTAAGGGGTGAAGATTTTGGTGTGTGGCTGAAAGAACTGATGCTGTGGACAGCTGTGTAGTGCTTGGAGCTGGCCTTGTTCTTAGAGGCTGTAAAAAAAAAGAAAGAGAGAAAAATTTTGTTTACACTACTACAGAGAAAATATTCCCAGGAAACACGGGAGTGGAGCTTGAACCTGTTTGACTCCCAGCACCAGCTGCAGGATGTGGGGCTGCTGGTGGTACTTTGAAGTGTTGTGTTCAGAAGGTCTGGACCAGCTGGCAGAGGGTATTCCAGCCACTTTGTTGGGAAACATGAGAAAAAAATAAACATGATGTGAAAACAGGCATGAGATCAAGAAGGATCTTTGTGATCTACGATCTGACTGCTCCCTAGTACAAATCAGAGGACTTCACAACACTAACAGCTCTTCTGGTCCAGTACAGGTGACCAAACTGCTGCCTAGATAGCCAGTCCAGATTTGGAAGTTTCCAGTGACAGTATATCAGTCATCCAGTGATGTATATCAAGTGACAACTACCCACTTTGTTAAAACACCTACCTAATGTCTGCCCTGTATTTGTATCTTGCAGCTTTTTATCTTGCTGCATCCTCGTCTGCTGGATCAGAGGGATCTCTTTCATGATTTTGTTTTTGATGTAGATAGATTGACATTAGATTTTACCTTCTTGTGCCTTAAACAGAATAATCTGAGCTCCTTCACTTCCTTATCCCAAGGGCTCTGACTCAGCCACAGGAACAGTGCTTCTTAGGGGCTTGTCCCCTATTGCCCATTCCCTCTTCTTTTATCAACAAGAAAAGAAACTGAGCTGCCACCCTTTGATAACCCTGCTGTGGAGGTGTTTCTAGTCCTGGTTGTAATTCACAGTGGGGGTAGCTGCTACGGTGGGGGTGGGAATGTCAGGCATAGCAAAATAACTCGGCGATCATAGGTACCTTCTGATCATTAATCATCATTCTGCCTGACTGCTGAGCACAAGAGTGGGACACAGATTTCCAGTGCCAGAGATTTCTGTGACAGAGACAAAAGTAACATAACCTCACTCCTCCTATGTCAGCCAAGGCTGATATAGTCCTTTTGGCTTTGGCATCACACTGAAGACTGACGTCAGCTTATCATTCACTGGGAGTTTAAGCAAGGCCACAGCTGGATCAGCTTGAAGAAAAAAAGAAGCCCAACCACAAATCTTTGCCTGTAGCTTTGTGTTATTTTTAAATGTTATTTGCAAGTCATCCCTTTCTCAAGTCAGTAGGTACTGAGCATGGAACTACAGCCAGGAACTTTGGGAATCTAATCCCCAACCAACTTCTGTGTGTCCAGGCTTGTAGTACATTATCCCAGCAGTGATCCTTTTGGTTTCTCTCTTTCCAGGCCTGTTTTCATCACTTCTAGGGGCAGAATCTCACTGTTGTTCCAGGGGCTCATTAGGCTCAGTCAGGTGATTTTAGGATTTCATAGATGCAAAACATGAAGTTTTACTGCTGATTTTCAGAGAAAAATGTTAGATCATATTGTACCTCCCGGATGAATTTACTACAAAGAGTGAGTTTATCCTATAGCATAAATTCATTCCATTTGCCCGAATCTTGGGTTTTTTTTAAATTCCATTTTATGTGTCTTCTGATCACCTGGGAAGATTTATTTTCTATAATGCAAAAAAATAATCTGAATTGTTGAGTTCCACAAAGCCCCATAGAGCCAACTGATCACATTCTTAGGTGTTAAGGTGATACAGTTAAAAGTTTTGTGTGTGGGAGATGTGTGTACGTGTGAGTGTATGAGACATAAATGGTTGATCTAAAGTTCTGCACAAAATTTCAAAACAGACCAGGAAAATCTTAGATCTGTGGGAAGACCAGGACCATATTGCCAAATATAAAAATGCTCAACTTTTTTTACAGCATCTGTTCAAGTAAAACAATTTCCCCAGCGTTGTGGGGGCTACAAATTATGATAATTGTGTTTCTTAGTTTCCTGTTAAGGAGATGACTCAGTTACTAGGTAGAAGCTTAATTACTGGTCACGTGCATTCTTTTAAATACAAATGTTCATGTAAATGTTCAACAGAGCTCTTCAGAGATGTTAAAGCATTATTCAGTGTATTCAGATTTGTACCTAAATACTTCATGAATACTTGGCACAGTCAGTTTCTTAAATGTTATGAAATCTGAGAACCATTAATCCTGTGTCTTCCATATTCATGGAACAGGAGTTGTCTGCCTCAATGCATGTTTAATTATGTGGCTTTTACTTAGGCAGCTTCCCCATAGATAACAGTTCACGTGGTATTAGTGTTAATTTTACTTGAATGAGGAGCAAAAAAATGGAGCCTTCATATTTGTACAAAGATTTGTGAAGACTTATGTTGTTTTCACTGCACAATCAGGAGACTTCTGTGGTTCCCAATTCCCTCCCTAACAAAGTCATCTTAATAATAATTTTGCTTTAAATACACTGTATGTACTGTATTTTTCCAAGCTTAGCAACACTGAATATTGCTAAATTGCTGAGGTTTGAAACATCATTCATTTTGACAGACTTTGACATAATTTGATTAATTTTTGTAATATCCTTGCAATGGTCAGTAAATCAGAAGATGCTCAAAATGAGAAAGGCTGAAACCAATATAGCTGTAGTAATGCCAGACAGATGCAGTGTTCCTATTGCAGTTGTCTCTAATCTGGTCCCTTAAATGGGTCAACTTCTTTTTTAGTCCTTTATTCTCATACATTTGGACCCAAACTATTGTCTTCTGTTTGTTTCTAGCATTGCAGAGGAATGTTAAATTCATCCAGCGAGCTGTGCTTGTTTACTCCCTTCTCATAAATATTAATACTATTTCCTTTTCCAGTAGCTTTGATTTGTTATATTTAAAATTGGACGCTGAAAATCAAGATTAGATTAGATACAACAAAAATTCTGTTAGTAGAATTTGATGTTCAGGGCAGTAGTAGAGATCTTCAGATGGCATTTAAACCAGTTGGAAGTAACCCTTTTTGTGAAAACACTGCCAATTTTTTTCTGCTTGGTAAGAAAAAGACACTTTTTCAGACTTCTCTCTCATTTTAGGCTGGGAATGGAGTGCGTGGATGTCAGCAGGGAGACATTTTACCAAAACAAAGCATCCATGGGACCGTTGTCTAATCAATGACTTTTAAGTGCAGGATTGGTGCTGTTAGATTGGAAACAGGTGCTAGAAGATGCCAAGTGAAGTGCTTGAGACCAGCAGCGGGATGGAGGAGACGGTGCAGAAAGACAGCAAGTCTGGAGGCCAGAGCCCTCGGTCTGGCACAATGAGAAGGGCTGTGGCAACCACTGTCACCTTTGATGGGGAAGCCACTATGGACCGGAGGAAAAAGAAGAAAAAAGAGTCCCGTCCCGAGTCAATAATAGTGTATCGGTCAGAGAGTGACAATAAGGTGGAAGAAGAACAGGTGGATGAAGAAGGAGGGGAGAGGAGCTCCGAGGAAGGCTCCAAGTTCCTGGGTCAGTCTATGGCAGATGGTATGTATTCCTGGGAACACCCACTTCCCATAAACTTTTTGATGACAGCTTGCTTTAAAGTCAAATGGAAATGACAGGGGCACCAACCCTCTCCAAGACTGCAGGCAAAAGGAGTTTGAGTTCATACGTGAAAATGCTCTGAAATAATAAGCACTACAGGCTGACTGGGGATGTCTCCTGCAGTTCTTTGCAGAGTTTGGATGTTGCCACACTCTTAGTTTTAAATGTATATGCCAGTTGGAGTTGATCCAGAAAAATGCTGTGCATGCTTTAAACAAATGATTCTGTGACCAAGATGCTGTCCATGGCTGAACAACTGCCTATTAAGTGAAAGGATGGAAGCAGATGGATTTAGTGGCTCTACCCCTGATAGGGATTTTTACTCATTATCTAGGATTTCCTTTTTATTTGTGTACTCTCAGCACAGCTTCCTCTTGAAGAGTGATTATTTGGCAAGGCCATCATGGGGCACCTTGGAGCCACTTTTACTTCTGATGTCTGTCCTGGTCACCCTTTCAGGAGGAAGGGAAGAAGTGTGAAAGGCAGGGCCTGTGGCTAATACTTTTGTGAGTCAGCAGTGCAGACTGAGAGGGGCTTAAATGTGAGTTCAAGCTCCTGGTCCATCAGATACACCAGATTCCCCCTTGATCCCAACCCCTGTCCTCATGGCTTATCTGCTACCTTCCTTTTGTGGACCACTTCAAACTGCTCAGCCTGTTTTTAAGAGTTTCTGAACACCTCCTTCCAAGCTAGTCAGAATTAATACCACCAGGAAACATATTTTAGCGCCATGGAAGAGTTTATGGCTAGTATCACTGCAGGAACCATCCTATACCAACGTCACTTGAACACTAAGGCAGTCTATTTGAAACTTCAACACATATACCATCACTATCCTGCTTACTGATCTCTTAAAATGCAAATATAATTATATGACAGTTTGTGAGTTTTTTCCAAATGTCAAAAATTATTTTGAAATGAGATACAGTGAAAATGTAAAGCGAAATATTAGCTATTCAGGTATAACTCCATGTGTGGACGTGCTTATTCCAGAACAAGAGTCTCAGTCACATTTATCTAATTCATCCCAAGTGTCCATGATGTTCAGGAATAAATCCATGAGGGAAACAAAGAAAACAGGCATACGAGTTTTGGTTCAGTTACTCTGTCTCATCTCATTCTCATGTACTCCTACAGCACTTGCCCTTCACATATTGTCTCTAGGGGAGATGTTGGAGTCTTTTCCCTTGTGATTTCTATCAGCTGGAATTCCTGTCTTCTCCCTTATTAGCTCTTCTTCCATTTTTCTCTATGATAATTTTCTTCATACTGCATTGCTTCTTGCCTTCCATCTTTTTTTATTTTATTTTTACTATAACTCCGTATGCACTACCTAATTGTCTTTGGGGTCTTTGAGGATTTACACAAAGTACTTCATACAGAAAATGAATCTAATGTAGATGAGTTTATCTATGTTGTAGGTGTCTGGAACATGCCTTTAGACAGCCGATATGTCACCCTGACTGGAACAATCACCAGGGGAAAGAAGAAGGGTCAGATGGTGGACATCCATGTCACGCTGACAGACAAAGAGCTGCAGGAACTGGCTAAGTCAAAGGAACCTCCTAAAGAGGACGTACCTGAGAAGAAGAAATGTGATGTTGGGTTGGACAGAGGACCCCACGTTGTCCTCTGGACCATCATCTGCCTCCCCATCGTTTTTGTAGTGTCCTTCGTGGTTTCATTCTACTACGGAACCATTACATGGTACAACATCTTCTTGGTGTACAATGAAGAGAGGACCTTCTGGCACAAAATCACCTTTTGTCCCTTTTTGATTATCTTCTATCCAATTATAATTATGATTGTTTCTTTTTCCCTAGGCCTGTATTCAGCTGTGGCCCAGGTAGCATGGTCCTTTGGGTACTGGTGGCGTGCTGTCAGGGATATGGAGAAGGGCTTCTGTGGCTGGCTCTGCAGCAAGCTGGGCTTGGAAGATTGTTCTCCCTACAGCATTGTTGAGCTGCTAGATTCTGACAATATCTCAGGTAGTCTCTCTGGCAAGAGCTCTGCGCAGGGTGTTGAGACCTCAGCAGTTTGAGCCTTTGTCCTGGATGACTATGTTGGTCATATGAGAGCGGTTTTCACCTAAAAAATAACACACTGATTTTTTTTTTCCAAATATATATATATTTAAACACAAACAATGAATAAAATATTGGGCTGGAAGTGCTCTTTAAATGTCACAGAATGCAGGAATGCTAGCTTTGCTTGCTCTGGGTGGGGAGGTGCATGGCTCTCCAAGGATTTGTCATCTGTTTTATCTAATTACAGCTTCTGGGAATGGTAAGAAAATCCAGATTTGCAGGGCTCAGGCTGTTTGTGGAGTGGCAGAGGTACATGATGCCAAGTCTGCTTCTGCCACATTAGACTTTACTTTTCAGAAATAGGGAGTACCAGTGACCCGCTGACCCAGAAAAGAATTCTCTGTTCAGGGGATGAACTTCCAGAGGTAGGACTCCATTCAGAGGTGAAGGCTAAATTGCAAAATCTGTGATGTTGCTGCAGTTTTCCTAGAAACGGTGCTTTTCCAGTCCTTCCAACAAGTGCAGCTAACTTAGGTAGGCTGACTGCTTAGACAGTAGTCAGAGTTTTACAAACAGACCACTGGAGTAGTTATTCCCAGCCTTTCGCTGGGAGAGGAAAGCAGAGCTGCCAGCAATGGCGTGTGAGCTCTATGCTGACCTAAAACACCCCCATCACACAAAGAAAGAGCAGGGCTTGCTTTGTAAGGCAACACGTGGGGACCTGATGAGCCTGTCACCAAGCAGCTTGAGGTAGCTGTAGGTGCATAGATGGGTGCTTGGGACACACCTGCATATGATCTCTGGGTAGGTGCACTGCTAGGAAGGACTGAGCTATGGGAGTGGTACACAAGGTGCAGTGCAAACAGTTGCGTTATGGGGAAGAAACACCTGCTCTGAAGAAAGGTGATCAGTTTGCATCTCAGTGCAATGCAGGTGCGGACTGGCAGCGCCTGGATTTAGGGAGGTAGAGTTGAAGGTACTTGGGATAGAAAGGTCTCACTGAAACAAGTTATTCTGGTTTTCAAGTTGCTCTTATGGAAGAGCTGTCGGACCTCCCTTTCAGAATAGGAGCCTTTCAGAGCCTATGTCTATTAGTGCCTCCGCTCTGGAAATCTGTGTCCACTTCTTCCCTCCCCTTTTCCTGGTTAGTTATATGGAAGAGCAATGGATCATACATCCTCTTCCCCTCAAGTCTCATTTTCATAATTGGTTTCCCTTTGTTTGGGACTTTGCATGTCATAGTGGGCTTCCTGACCAGGTTGATGTGGCCACTAGGGCCTGGAGAAATTTTGTCTCTTTAAAAAAAATGACTGGCAGAAAAGTTCTTTTTTACTGCATTGACTATTGGGGTTTTGGCCTATGAAGGATGTGAGAAAAGTAAAAGAGAGTTATGATGGATTCTAATGGGGACAGAGTTACACATCTGAAACGATTTATTTTCTGAGTGCTGTCATTCAGCTGGTGCTACTAGAAAGTCTGTCTGAGCCCCAACCCAGAGGAGCCCACCATTTGCATGTGTGTAGGTAGGTAAGTTGTGGTGTGCAGTCTTGTCAGCTGCACAGCCACTCATGTCTGTGTAGATGTTTCACTTTCCCAGTCTCCCTCCCAGATGGAGAGCTGCTCTAGTTTTAGGATGGTAAAAAGAAGCATTCAGAAGCTCGATTTCACAGGAACTAATGCTTTGTGTTGCATTTTAAGGATGACCTCAAGACTACACTGTCTGTCCTGATTAGAACGTCTGGGAACTAGTGATGTATAAACAAGTCCATCCGATCCTCTAGGCCTGACACTGAGAAATAAGTAGTTCCTGCTGCATTATTGGTCCATAAAAGGCATGGCCAAAGGAGCCTCTTAGCACTGGCTAGAGGATTAACAATGTGCATGGTGTACAAGCCCAGTATCAAGGGCAGGCTTGGCCCTACACTTTATTGACAAAGCAGAGGTGCTCCCTGGTACAGGTACAACCAGGCTGTGTTTGCTTCTTCCTGCTTTCAGTTTTTACTGATGAAGTCTTTCAAGGCAATGACCAACTTCCATAAAAAAACAAACAAAACAAAACAAAACAACCACAAAAAAACTCCCACCTGTGAGACAATATCAGGTAGTTCAGTGGGGTTCAAAGAGGCTGACATATGCTGGGGACTGGTTCAAGCAGTGAAATGCCTTTCAGATGTCTGTCCCAAACAGGCAGGTTGATATGCCTCTGAATTAGCTGAGCACAAGTCATGCTAGTGCTGACAGTCTGTAGTGATCCAGTGCATCCACTCTGCTTAGTACAGCTCCACATGGAAATCACAGGCTCCCACATGGCTGGAGGGTGGGAAGAAGTGATGCTTAACAAGCATTAAGGAGAAGGAAGGTCCACTGGCAAGTGTTCTCACACTTTGCCTGAACGGACACTGCTGGCATGAAAAGAGTGGATTGTGTATCTTGGCCCCAACATGCAGCAAATAAGTTTGGGGGAAGGATGGCTGGCAAGTGTGCATTGCTGTGGAGGGAGAAAACCCAATTCAGCTGTCACTGCCAAACAGCAGCTGTTCAAGGCTAGATGAAAGGCTGGGGTCAGTAGCACAAAGAGCCTTTAGCTTACAGAGGGCTTGAATGATAAATACTAGCTCATTACAGAATACAGGCATGTGAAATGTCTGCTGAGCTGCAGGATTTGCTTTCAGGATTGCAAATAGCCCGCTGGAGTGGAGACAAAACCATATCTGTGCCTCTTACTGCTATGTAGACACAAAGGAGTGTCAGAGGAGTCAGAGCACCCTCCCTCTGCCATGGCAGCTGTGCTTCTGGGTTTGGAGATCCCCTTTGGGAGGATATACTGGGACAATCCACAATGTGTTTTCTACTTGTTTATACTTAACCAAGCTTGCCTTGGCTCCTGCTAAAGTTAAGGTGTTCTGCCACTGATTTTCGTGGGGGCTATTTTAAGCTTGGGGTTAGTTCTGGTGCTATTTGTACAAGTTTAATTCAAACTTTTCTCCAAACAACTCTGAATAGCTTTCTCTCTTGCCCATTATCCTCTTGTAGCGGTTTGCCTGCTGCAAAATAATAGTTTTCAATATCACTATCAATTATTGTAATAGAAAGAAGCACAAATTTTTGTCTTGTTCTACCCGCTTTCAGTAACTTCTGCTTATGTGCCACTGTCCAACTGCAGGAAATTCCGGTTCCCCTGATTGTTGAGTGTGTTTCTGGCTGCTCTAGTCTGTTGTTTTTTTTTTTTTTTTTTTTTTTTTTTTTTTTTTTTTTTTTTTTTTTTTTTTTTTTTTTTTTTTTTTTTTTTTTTTTTTTTTTTTTTTTTTTTTTTTAAGTAAAGATAGTGTGTGTTTGCTGATTGTTATTTTTAATTGCATTCCCTTTTCCCATCCTTGCTGGCCTGGGTGGAGAATAAAGATGTATGTGGCTTTACAAGAGTGTTGTTCTCATGCTTCTGCTTGAATTTGGGTTAGAAACAGTGTTGTGGGATTGACACAGTCATTCTATGCTGATAATTGATTATAATTAATTCTATTTGAAGATCAACGTTAAAGTGTGTCTGAAATGGGTCTCGATTCTACCTCTTGTTAACCAGTACTTGTCTGGAATTGTCATATCTCTGGGTTCTGGGTTCTTAGTTTTTACTTCATAGTGCACAAATGAAAACTTTTGATTTAATTTCACTTGTTGGGAGTCTGTTTAGCATTAGCCACAAGGGTATACAGGGAGGGACAAAATGTCCCAAAATAGGAAGTACTTTTAACTCTACAAATATGCTCTGCGTGTCTTGGAGCTGCTATTTACAGCTGTGCTGGGAAGATTTTCTTACAATCCCTGAGTACTTCAGGTGTATCTCTGATCAGTCAAAGGAGGATGCATCAGTAGAGTTCTTCAAGGTGTGAAAATATTATATGCCACCCTCAGTGCTCTCCCACACAGTCTGATTACAGTCCTATCCTCCTGCTAGCACAGGGAAAACACTTATTTGAAATCTTCTTTCTTCTAAGAAGGAGACGTGTCTTTGGAAAACTCGAATGAAATTCCTAGCTGAGGGCTAGCACAGCTTCAGTGTCACAGCTCTCTGAGCCAAAACACTACCTGCAGGTGATTTCCTCAAACTGGCAGTGCCATGTCCAATACAGCAGCTGGAAGTAGCAAGAAGATGCTTTAGGTTTTATGCCTGCTGCAAACACGGCCAAGAAAACAGAATTCCCTGTGCGGTAGATGTGGAGAACTTTCCACGTCCAATGAAGAGCATAGTGAAGGACACTTGGCTTACTGGTGTGACAGGGTGAGATGGAGAAAGTGGGCCCAGAGGATTAGCTCATTAGCCTTTGCAGTTCTCAGCTCTGAGGTACAAGGTAATAATTTTATAAGATAATGGTTAGCAGTGTGAGAGACTCCTGTTGAAGACCTCTGCACCAGGCAAAACACACCTGTATGGCTGCACCGTGTACCTCATCGGGGCAAGAGAAGGTGTTAATTTTGCTTGCTGACTTACCTAGCCCATTCAGCTCCTTTGAGGACTGAAGCAATCACAGAATGAACTGTGCTTTTGTCCACAGTTAGTCCCTTGAATTCACCCTTCTAATCCCTCGTCATACTGCTTCAGATCTCAAGGCCAGGATACTGAAATTTCTCAAAGATTATCAGCAGAGGCTGCTCCGTGGATCCATGTAACCACCCCCATGGGTACCTTTTACTAGTTGCACACCGAAGCATGCAATTAGACTAGCATTACAGAGAAAATAAGGATGCACAGCCCACATTCCTACACTGTAATGGACACAAATTTGCTTAAAATATATGCAAGCTCCTTTTATCCCAGGCCATGGGATAATCACAGGCCATCTGTGGGACCAGTGCCTTTCCTGCTTCTTTCCAAACACTTGACAACATTGAGGCAGTTGGATTAATATGTTTTCATTTCTGAGTGGGTTAGTCCATGCACATTTTTCCCCTGCATGGAAATGGGAAGTCACAAAAAGAAGAGAGGCTGATGCTGAGAGGCTGAATCAGGGGGCTAATCCACTTGGAAATACAACTTTTCAATTAATTTGGTGAATTAGAAGGGACATCATGTTTGCTTGTCTTAACTACTAAAGCATGATTTCTCTTCCAACAGGCAGCCACTTAATGATGAGAGAGGGCTTGTGGTTGTGTGTTTGACCCAGGTAAATTGCCAGAGGGTTCAAAAAGTCCCCTAAACATCCTTTCTCATAACAGGTGAAGTGTGACTGTGTTGCAAACAAGCAGCCCAGAGAAACAGGGCTTGAGGCTCTCTCGTGTATCCCCCTTGGTCACCCAGTTCCATTAACTTTCAGTTTTCCTAATTTCATGTCATTACACGGTAGCTGAAGTCTGTCAGAATGCATTAAAATAAAGAGAATGCCTGAGTCAGGCCAACAATGCATTTTTCCCCATGTTAAAAAAGTGCCCTTGCTTTTAGTGTGCTAAAACATAAACCCCTGTCCCCAGAATACAGCAGCTAAAATCCATTGTGGTTTGCATCCATTGAAATTAGATATGCAGTGGATGAATTTGACCTGGAGCCCTTTATGATACAAAACTTAGATGTGATCTCCCTGTCTTAGGGCTCCTTTTCCCAGCCATTTCTTCCCGGTGGAAATTCAACTTTGCAAGATAAAAAAGGATAACTACTGAATTTGATAGTATGTTCTGCCTGCAAATACGATAAAAGCCCACCTCCCAGGCAACATGTTCCCTCAGGGCTTGGTTTATTACAAGTTGCCCCATCAGTGATGTATATTAAGGCCAATATATTTGAAGGTGCCTTTGACTATCTTTAATTGTAAGCTATGAGCTTTCTGCTCCTACAGTGATAAGGTAAGGAAATAAATTATTTCTGCTACAAAATAACAGCAAACTGGCTCATTGGGATATAACACAAAAACAGCTTAATTTATTCTAGCATGATTATCTGAGTCACCTGCAGTTGTGATCTGAACAACCCAAAATATTGTAAATGAACTGAATGGCTTTTACAGTGTCAGTGCTGGGCATGAATCCAACAGCTTCTGGGATAGTCAGCCTAAGGAGAGCATGCCTTTTATTCAGTCTTTCTTTCTAAAATACATTACTTGTCCTAAAGTATGGATGTGTCAGCTTCTAATGATGTACTTAAATATATTTGTAACAAGATGCCCTTATAATTACAGGCAATTACTATCATTCCATCATAATGGAGATTTTCCTTAACACTTTAACCATATCAAAGTTGCATGCAGAATTAATAAATACAAGCAATTTTAACCTACCTTAATTTATTCAAATGAGCTCCTCTGTGACTTAAGAAAGGAGCAGAAATAATTCCTAGTATCTGCATGTGGTAAAGAAAAAAGTGAAATATTTCGTATAATGAGCTGTATCATCCCAGGGCACACATAGTGTCATTGCTAAATGACATCTCGATTCTCCCCAGATAGTGTTGGTGGAGCTACTTTCAGTGACTGAAAGCAATAATAGCAGTGGCTCCTCTCTAATGCGATTAAACACCACTGAAGTGATGAACTCTAATATCGAAACAGGCTCTAAGGCAAAAGTTTCATGACATGGTGGTGACTTCTGCCAGCCCCATAATTACAGCAGGATTGCTCTGAGGCTCCAATTCCACCCTAAAGCCAAATCTCTTTCAATGGCTAAATTTGCCATTTGTTTCAATAGGAAGCTGTAAAAATTTTAATGTCTGCCTTGAATGTCTAGCACAAAGAACCTGCAGAAATCACTGTGATCTTGATGACTACTTTCCCTCCAAGGGATTACTACAAAAAATAACTGACAAGGAAAGCTTGAAATTATTCTTCCCCTGCCTCTGCATCTGACACTGTCACATATCTGCTCGTGTCGTGGGTTAACATCAATTTACGCAAATAAAACCCAAATCTGATCCCTTCTTTCCTCTCAAATAGCAGCTCCTTCCTTCACACTGCTGCTTTGTCCCCCATAGCTGTACAAACTGGCAACTCAGAAGAACTAAAAGATTTAAAACCTGATGTCCCATCCTCCATGTTGCAGAGCTCCATTTTTAAAGTGC